GATAGAAACTGGGAAAAGGTCCGTGGTGTCAGACCAGGTACAGGAGAAGCTTGGTGAGATATGGGTTCAGGATCCTGGGGTCTGGCATATCTGGCTGAATATCTGAAGCCAGGGCCAGCCCAGGTGGGGCCAGGGGAAACAAGGCCCTAACTCGCACATGTCTGCTTCCCAGGAGCCACCATGCAGTGCTTCAGCTTCATTAAGACCATAATGATCCTCTTCAATTTGCTCATCTTTGTAAGTATGGACATTGTGGACTCTTCGGGGCTGCCCACAGCAGCAGGTCACAAGCTGAGCAGAGACTAAGTTGGGGAATGGGAGACTGCTATGCCCAGGCTTTGTCCTGCAAGTGTCCCCATATGAGTGGGATGCAGAGATCTCCCCAAATGCTGCTGATTCCTAGTCCCAGCAGCCCCCAGGTTGCCATACAGGGGTGTGTATGAAAAAGGGGATGGAGAAGCTCGGGGCAATGCCTCTCTCCCACAAAGCTTTAGCCCAGGCTTCAGGCAGGGCAGAGTAAGCTCCCAGGAATGATTCTCCCCCCTTTATAGGCACTGGGGGCCCAGAAAATAGGAGGGCTCCACCCAAGTTCACCTAGCACAGAAGGAAATTCAGTACAGAGGAAATTCTTCTGTACGATGAGGAGCTGAAAGGTGGGAGGGCCTACATCTCATCAGAGCAAAGGGTCTATCTCAAGCAGCCCTTATTCATTTGACAAACATTCATTGTCTAGGATACCATGAGGGGTGCTGGGGTGGCAGGTAAGCAAAGCCTTTCTCTGCCCTGAAGGAGCTCAGCTCCAATAAGCCAGATAGGCAGATAATAACAACACAGTGTGTTTGGGCTTAGGACGGAGGTTTTAGGAGCCTGAACTTAGCCTGGTTGGAGAATACTTCCTGGAGGAAATAGCTGAAGCTGGGAAATTGCGCTTGGTGGGGGAGTTGTAAAGCTTGCATAAAGGGCCAGAAGTAATGAAACTCGATATCGTTCAGAAAACCAGAAACAGATTGCATAGGGCATGTTTGAGAAGCTGAGCCATGAGGCATAAATCCTGGAGATGGTGGTGGAGATAGGGAGAAACGGAAAAGTGGACAAAGGCCAAAGCTCTAGGATGATGGCTGAGGGGTAGAAGAAGGGGCAAGGGAGACAGAGGTCTTGGAGATGACGCCCATATCTCTGGCATGAGCAACCCAGATGGCAGGGGGTGGGGCCCCGTTTGTGGGAGGGGATGTCCCACTGGCAGCCGTGTACCCAGTGGAGGTACAGCTCAGATTGGAGCTGGCCATGGGTATTTGAAACTCATGTGCACACAGGTAGCCACTGAAGCCATGGGAGTGGATGAGAACACTTGGAAAGTGAACTCTGGGAAACCCAATTTATTAGGGATAAGCCCCCCCCCAAAAAAAAAAAAAAAAAAGCCACTGTGAAGGAGATGGAGAAGGAGCAGTGGGAGGGGGGAGAGGAAAACAAGGAGAGCAAGCTATCAGAGAGGTCAAGGAGAATATGGCCCATGAAATGTTCACTGGATTTAGCACAGTATGTCACCAGAGACCCAAGCCACATTAGAGTAGGTTAGCGTAAGTAAAAGTGAGGAAGTGGGCTGGGCGCAGTAGCTCACGACTGTAATCCCAGCACTCTGGGAAGCTGAGGTGGGCAGATTAGTTGAGCTCGGGAGTTTGAGACCAGCCTGGCCAATATGGTGAAACCCCGTCTCTACTGAAAATACAAAAATGTGGTGGCGCATGCCTGTAATCCCAGCTACTCGGGAGGCTGAGGAAGGACAATCACTTGAACCCAGGAGATGGAGGTTGCAGTGAGCCAAGTTTACACCACTGCACTCCAGTCTGGGCGACAGAGTTTATATACATATTGATTAGTTTAGAAGCATGGATAGATTCTCTAGTTCTGATGTGGTCTGTGCCTTGGGCTTCCTTTGGCTGCAGGGAACTTGTTTTTGTTGTTGTTGTTGTTGTTTGTTTCTTTGAGACAGGATCTTGCTCTGTTACCCAGGCTGGAGTGCAGTGGCATGATTCTGGCTTACTGCAGCCTCAACCTCCTGGGCTCAAGGGATTCTCCTACCTCACTCAGCCTCCTGAGTATCTAGGACTACAGGAGTGTGCCACCATACTCAGCTAATTTAAAAAAAAAAAAATGTTTTTGTAGAAGCGGTCTCACTATGTTGCCCAGGCTGGTCTCGAACTCCTGGGCTCAAGTGATTCTCCCACCTCGGCCTCCCAAAGTGCTGGGATTATAGGCATGAGCCACTGTGCCAGTCCTGAACTAGTCTTTATCCATGTATCTGGAGGAGGCAATAGGATTCCAGGGATTTGGATAGCAGAGGCTCTGCCCTGAGAGGGTTAAAGGCAAATCCGGTTTGATTTCTGGCCTCTCTTACCCAGACCTTGCCAGGCTGGGCAGAGCAGGATAGGGCAGACCTCCAGCTCCTTGAAATTTGACCCTGCAGGCTAGAAGTCCAGCTTTCTGTCCTTGGGCAAACATGCCTGGAATCCAGCCACAATCTGCCACCTCACTTCCCGTTCTAGTCTCAGCTTTTATTCCTGGCAAGTGAGGACTAGGCACCAAGGTGGTGTCAGGCTGATTCATCCACTGAGGCCCTGGGCCGGGAGACTTTGCTCTAAGATGTGTGGCAACTACACAGGGCCCTCCTCAATCTGGGCCTCAGGATTCCCGCTGAGGTTTGGAGTTAAGTTAGACAGCCTTTAAGAGAAACTCTGGCTGTATTCCCACTAGTGCCTCACTTTCCTCTTGTGAGGCAAGGAGGTCTTGTCTGGATGAGGCCTGAAGTTGGATTCTAGAGGGGAGCCAAATGGGGCCTCAGGTGGGTGAACCTTCTCAAACTCCTCCCTCTCCAAGGTTGCCAGCAGGTGGAACCTCAGCCCTGCCTCTATTACTATGGTGACTGTTGAGCCTGTTCTGCTACCGCCCCGTCTCCACCTATCAGAGGACAGAGATGTTCTAGGCACCTCTCACCCAGAAAGGAAATAGGAGGCTGGTACCTCATCTGCCTGTTTTCAATCCTAGCTATGTGGCAGGACCCTGGCAGCAGTAAGGGAAAGGTTTGCCCCTCCCCCTACCCTGCGGATATTTCTAGAACCCCTGATCGCCTTTATATCTGCCCAAGTGTGCAGCCTGATCCTAGCTATGCACATCCCAGCTCCCATTTTTCTGGCTCTAGAGGATGTTCCCCTCCTTACAGGATGAGGTTTTAGACTCCCTAGTCAATAAAGAGGGAAGTTTCTCGGCTCCCATCCTTCTTACTCAACTGTGTGGTAGTAAGCTACTTGTCAGCACTGTTTAAGGCCTGCCTGACGTCTCTCTCCCCAGCTGTGTGGTGCGGCCCTGTTGGCAGTGGGCATCTGGGTGTCAATCGATGGGGCATCCTTTCTGAAGATCTTCGGGCCGCTGTCGTCCAGTGCCATGCAGTTTGTCAACGTGGGCTACTTCCTCATCGCAGCCGGCGCTGTGGTCTTTGCTCTTGGTTTCCTGGGCTGCTATGGTGCTCAGACTGAGAGCAAGTGTGCCCTCATGACGGTGTGTCAAACCCAGCTCCACAGGCCCATGACCAAGAGTCCCCTTGCCCTTGACACCAGGCCCTGGGGTTCCCAAACTCTGCTTTGGACTCCCCTAGGCTAAGGCCTCTGTCTCACTTTTTCGGGGGGTGGATTAGGGCAAGGAGGGCTCGAGGGACTGTCTCTCCCTAAAATCCAGATCCCTGTTCCCCACTCAGTTCTTCTTCATCCTCCTCCTCATCTTCATTGCTGAGGTTGCAGCTGCTGTGGTCGCCTTGGTGTACACCACAATGGTGAGACACTGGGATGGAGGAAGGGAAGAAAATTGGGCAAAACCCTGGGAGTGGGCTGTGGCCTGTGAATGGCCACCTTCTGTACCAACCCCTAAACACTGGCCTGCCTCACCCAGGCTGAGCACTTCCTGACGTTGCTGGTAGTGCCTGCCATCAAGAAAGACTATGGTTCCCAGAAAGACTTCACTCAAGTGTGGAACACCACCATGACAGAGGTAAGGTTGGCTGGGGGAGGTTTTGGGGTGGAGAGGAAGAAGCAAGGCCCCACCTCCACCCTCATCTTGTCTCCAGCTCAAGTGCTGTGGCTTCACCAACTACACGGATTTTGAGGACTCGCCCTACGTCAGAGAGAACAATGCCTTTCCCCCATTCTGTTGCAATAACGTCACCAACACAGTCAATGAAACCTGCACCAAGGAAAAGGCTGACAACCAAAAAGTAGAGGTGTGGGCTGGCACAAGTGGGTGGGGAGTTTTCATGGCCTCAGAGTGGCAAACAGGGATGGGAGTAGGGCAGCTGCCAACTATAAATGCTCTTTTCTCTTCCTGAAGGGTTGTTTCCAACAGCTTTTGTATGACATCCGAACTAATGCAGTCACTGTGGGTGGTGTGGCAGCTGGAATTGGGGGCCTCGAGGTAAGCAGATGAGGAGGCTGGGACTGGGATATGGGCACGAGACCAGGGCTGCTCAACCCATCTGAGGCCTCCCTGGAGGAAACAGACCTAATTGGGCCTCAGGTAGGGTGTCTGTGGGACAGGCTTCAGGATCCCTATCATGTCCCCTCATCTCTCCCTGTTCCTCCCTCTCCAGCTGGCTGCCATGATTGTGTCCATGTATCTGTACTGCAATCTACAATAAGTACACTTCTGCCTCTGCCACTACTGCTGCCACATGGGAACTGTGAAGAGGCACCCTGGCAAGAAGCAGTGATGGGGGAAGTGTCAGGATCTAACAATGTCACTTGGGCCAGAGTGGACCTGCCCTTCCTGCTCCAGACTTGGGGCTAGATAGGGACCACTCCTTTTAGGCAGTGCCTGACTTTCCTTTCATTGGCGGGTGGGTGGGTGGGGGGCATTCCAGAGCCTCTAAGGTAGCCAGTTCTGTTGCCCATTCCCCCAGTCTATTAAACCCTTGAAACGCCCCTAGGCCTAGTAGTGATCCCAGTGCTCTACTGGGGGATGAGAGGAAAGCATTTTATAGCCTGGGCATAAGTGAAATCAGCAGAGCCTCTGGGCGGATATGTAGAAAGCACTTCAAAATGCATAAACCAGTTACAATGTTGCCAATTGAACTCTTCATGTATCCTTGGGGAGAGGGGTCTAAACTGGTCTGAGATTCCTGTGGAGCTGCCAACTCAGAAGGCCCTGCAAAGGAGGGAAGTAGGGTGGGGTTGGGGGTCAGAAGTAGTTATTTCTCCCCTTCATTTGGGTTCCAGGCCTGGGAGGGAACCCAAGAGGAATGGCTGAGAGGGCGTGAAGAAGTAGAGTTGGGTTAGGCCAGTCTGCCTCCTTATAATGGGGAGAACTTTGGACTGAAACTACCCCCTCCTGGGTGGGGGCACTGGACTGGAAAGCTATGAAAATAACAAGCTTGTGCCGAATTCTTACCAGGTCAATGGGAAAGGGTCACTCCTTAGGTGCTGGGAAGCCCTTCAGGAGCCCCCTTCCTAGGGTCCACGCTGCCTACCTTTCCCACTCAAGCAAAACCCCACATCTGTCCCTGCTTCTGGGATCTCAGCAAGAACTTCATGTTTCATTTGCTGTTGGCATACCTGGTGTTCTTCAGACTTCTTCTTCTTCTTTTTTTTTTTTTTTTTTGACAGAGTTTCACTCTTGTTGCCCAGGCTGGAGTACAATGGTGTGATCTCGGCTCACTGCAGCCTCCGCCTCCGGGTTCAAGCAGTTCTCCTGCCTCAGCCTCCTGAATAGCTGGGATTACAGGCACCCGCCATCATGCCTAATTTTTTGTAATTTTAGTAGAGACGGGGTTTCACCATGTTGGCCAGGCTGGTCTTGAACTCCTGACCTCAGGTGATCCACCTGCCTCGGCCTCCCAAAGTGCTGGGATTACAGGCGTGAACCACCTCATCAGGCCTAGACCTCATCTCTTCTTTAGCCCTAACCATCCCTATGCTCCAGGTAGGAAACTGAGGCTAGGAAAGGCCAAGCGACTTGCCCCAGTCCCACAGGCTTCCATGAGGAGCTCAGCCTAGATTTGGGTCCAGAACTCCAGCACCTGGTGTAGTCCTGGCTGATATGATACTAGTTCCACTTGAAGGGGCAGCTGGCCAGAATGTCTCTGATACAGACCCTGATCACTGTTGAGCCAGGAGTGAGAGGCCTGAGGGAGGCTCTGGTGAGAGGGTACAGTGTCTGCTACCAAGCAAAGCCCAGCCTGACAAACCAGTCCCCCTCCTTGCTTCCCTTTGAACCCTGTAACTCTCTTCCTGAGCTTTTCCAGGACAGCCCAGAACCACCACCCTCTTGCTGAGCCCAGAAAGGAAGACGGACCTGACCAGAACCAAAGAGTGCCTTAGAGCTGGTCTGTGAGGGGCAGACCAGGAGCCTGCCAGGGTGCAGGACAGGGCGAGGAGCTAGCGTGCCTCACCCCTTCACCACCATACTGTGCCTCTCACACACTTCCCCTCCACCAGGTGCCTGTGTGGAGGCTGCACGGGATTTGTTTGCCCAGGGCGGGCCTCCACCTCATCATGGGCTAATTGCTGCTCAACCTGGCTGCTGTGCCACCTCAAGCACTATCTCCAGATCCAGCAAACAACGAAGGCGTCAGGGTGGCGAGATATGTCCAAGCCACACACCACCCATGCTGTCGCCGAGCTGGACTCCAGGCACCTGTGAAAGAGGCAGGGCAGAGAGCAGGCAGGAGGGCTGGAGTTCCAGCCGGAGTACTGTACTTGTACAGAGGCAGGCAGGCCCTTTCTGAAGAGGTGGTCTACACTCACCCTCCTGACATTAGGCCCTTCACAGACCCCTTAAATGTCCTTTTCCCTGCTGTGGGCTTTCTCATTCACTGCCTCTGGACAATCCCATCCATTTTCTGGTGCCTCTATGACTAACTTCGATCTTCCTAACCTCTTTGGGTTACTGGCTATGTGAGAATGTCATGAAGACCATGACCCATTTCTTCACAAAAATGCCCGGATAGAGAATTCTGAATGGCAAAGTGCTCTAAGGGTCATAGACACCCTTGCTCCTACATCTCCATCTTCACCCTAGCCCGTCTCTTGAATGATGCCTGCCCAGTCCTGTCCCATCCACTTCCTTCCCACCCCCACTATGCACACCTGCTCTCCCATTTCCTCTTCCAACTCCCAAGTATCCCTTTTTGTTCTCTCCTGCTCCATCTCTGGGGCAGGTGCCCGGCCCAGGCAAGATAAGCAGGAACCAGGCTGGTGGTTAAACGGTGGGGAAGAGGTGGGGTGGCTGCTCCAAGCCTCAAGTAGGACGGGGCTAAAGTCAGGCTGTCCTAGGGTAGAGTTGGGGAAAAACCTTGGAGTTTGGCATCCCCTGGTGGCCAAATGGCCCCAAATGGAAGATAAACTCTGTGGAGGACAGTAAGGAAAACTCACCATCCAACACAAGTATTCTCTCCACCACTTCCCTCCAGCACCCCCCGACCCACAAAATCACAATCACAAGACACATCCCCAGAGGGCTTCTCCTTTTTTAATCAATGATCAACTTATCCAGCTTTGGAAAGCTGGACAAAGAGGATGCTGAGAGGAGGCCTGGTCCAGTGTCTAAGGGTGTCTGAGTGAGTCTGTGTCAGCATGTGGGCCCCAGTTGGGCCTGTCCATGGGTTGGGCACAGCAGTTTCCTGAGTAAGAGCCAGCCCCACCCTCAGGGCAGCATTCCTGCCCAAAAAGAAATCCAGGCCCTCCAGGTTCGGCCTGTTTTCAAGGCCCACAGGACAGTCAATAAATAGGTTAGATTCTGAGCCAGGCCTGGAAAGTGAGGGTATTCAAAGGGCAGGATGAGCTGCTAGGGATCGCAATGATTCCCAGGTACTCTCCTGCCCTTCTCCAACAAGGAAGTAAATAAATAGACCTTTAACTCAGGAACAGGGTGTTGGAGCAGGGGAACCCTCCCCTCGGAGTTAGTAATTAAGTCTCATGTTAAAAACAAGGTAGCCCCAGCCCCTACCAGCATCTACAAAATCCTACAGGATGGAGGGAAGGGCTAGCCCGCCTGGGGGTACACAGTACCCAGCCCCACAGGGTCCTGGAGGAGGTCTCATGTCTGTTCTGCGGCTCCTGGGGCTCCCTCCTCTTTTGGGGGTGGCTCCAGGAAAATTGGGGTGACTGAGGGTGGCTTCTTCACTCTGGGAAAATAATACAAGGATGTATAGGGAAGAAGCCATTAGCTATGTCCCTGGATCTCACTAGGCCTCCCGTTTCCCAGGGCAGAAAAGGGTCACTCACGAGTAGGGGGAAGACGGGACCCCCACCACCAGGAAGTGGTTCTTCTTCCGAAACAATCTCCATAGGCCCCGGTGGTTGCCACGCACATCCAGGTCCCAGATATGGAGGCACTGGTGAGGGTGGGATGGGGACAGAGACACGGGTCAGAGAGCTGTGGGGAGGGGTCACTGAAGACGCTTTGGCTCAGCCCCCGCCCCTCCTCAGAAACCACCTCAATTTGCAAGAGATAGCATCTTTTGGAATATGAATTTGGACAAGGAGGTTGGAAGAGGGGTTCTAGGAGTATAAAGAGGAGGTTCTGAGGTTGAAGATTCCAGAGCAAAGGCTCCCTGGATCTTGGGGCAGTACATGTGTGAGGGGCAGGGGTTCTCCAGGGTGGGCATGGTATTGGAGCACCTTGGCAAGCTGGGTCCAGGTGGTGAAGTCATCATCTTTCTCCATTCGAATAAAGGCCACGTAGGTGTGGCCCTCTGTGTCTGGCAGGAAAGAGTCTTCACAAGGGTTCTTGCTGTGGTCCAGAACCTCAGCCTCACTGCAGTGGAGGGAGGGAGAATATGGCCAAGATAGGGCCCACTTCATGGGTGTGTCCCACAGGACCCTGTACTTGGTTGAATGCTCTGCTGTTGCCACCCTGAAGTTCTTAATAATGTTTGAGATAAGGTCCCTGATTTTCATTTTGTACAGAACCCTGTAAATTATGGGGCCAAGATCCCCAGTATTTGACTCTTTGCTCCCTGCTATACCCCAATTGTCTTAGGCCATACCTGAGCAGCCTGTGAACTTCCACTTCATAAGCTTCTTTTTTCAGACTGAAGAGGAGGGAGAAATGGGTCAGGGGAGTGGGCAGGCCCTCAGGTCCCATGGGTAGCACTGAGCAGGGCAAGGGGTCACATGGGAATCTGTAGCAGCAGGGCTGGAGTAAACACACAGGCCCGGGATTGGAAGGGACTTTCAGGGATTGGCCTCCAAATCTCCTAGATATCCACCCCTTGCCCTGCTGCCAGCCCCAACCTGTCCACATTCCTGAGCTGGACACCTGGAACCGTGTTGAACTTGTGCTTCTTGAAGTAGGCCTCCTGGAGTGGGTATGAGAGTAAAAATCAGCACCTCACATTGTCTGGCCCACACCCACTTGCTGACCAGCCACACATCTGTTAGACACACAAATGAAGTCCTAGACCTATAAAGAGCCCTCTAATTTCCCCTGTCTTCTCCATCCTCTTTGCAGCATCCGCAGCAAGCTCTTACTAGCTTTAATTTGGCCTCCACCATTGCTGGAGAGCTCATGCTGTCACGGCAGCTGACATTACTGTACTACAGACCCATGAACTAGTAGTCCCTGTCTCTTGTAGTTCTCCCTGGGCCTGCTGTTCTAGAGCCACAGATGTCAGAAACAGGCCCTGCAGGAGGTGCTGGGCAAAGGGACGGGCTGCGCTGGGAAGGAGAAAACTACTTTGACTGGTACTGAGAGTGACCTGAGGGAAGTGCCTGCCCCTCTCCGGGAGAGGAATGGGGCTCTTGTATTAGCCTCTGAGGGGCCTCTGGCTTCTAGGAGGTTCCAAGTTGGACGCTATCTATTCCTTTGGGCTGGGCTGGCTCAAGGCCTCCCTTGCTGTAACTGGGGAATGGTCCTCTGAACGCAGCCAGGTGGGGTGGGGGTACCTAGGGACTTCCCTGTTCTCCTCAGGCTAAAGCATGGGCTCCAGCATTTGCCAGAACAGGAAAGAGCAGAGATTGCAGGGGTGGACCAGTACTTAGAGGCAGAAATACTCTCCCCAGACACCCATAGTCTAGTGCTAAGAATAGTAAAAATAAAAATAATACCAGCTGACCCTTATACATGTTTATAATTCAAAGCATTTTACATATATTGACTCATTTAAACCTCAAAATATCGTAACCCAGTGAGGTAGTAGTATTTTATCCTTTTTTTTTTTTTTTTTGAGACAGAGTCTCACTCTGTTGCCCAGGCTGGAGTGCAGTGGTATGATCTCACCTCACTGCAAGCTCCGCCTCCCGCATTCACACCATTCTCCTGCCTCAGCCTCCCAAGTAGCTGGGACTACAGGTGCCCATCACCACGCCCGGCTAATTTTTTGTATTTTTAGTAGAGACGCGGTTTCACCGTTAGCCAGGATGGTCTCGATCTCCTGATCTCGTGATCCGCCTGCCTCGGCCTCCCAAAGTGCTGGGATTACAGGCGTGAGCCACCGCGCCCAGCCCTTTATCCTCATTTTTCAGATAAAGAAACTGAGGTAAAAATAGGATAGCTCTTTCCCCAAGGTTACATGGCTAGCAAGTAGCAGAGCTAAGATTGCTTCAGAGTCCATGTTCTTGTTCTTGACTGTCATGCCACACTGTGCCCTGCTCCCTGCCTCCCACTCACATGAAAGTAGCCGTTCATGTTGAGGCCGACGATGCCAAAGTGGTAGGATCGGGAAACGTCAGGGATGATGCACTCTCGACCCCGGCGTTGTTCAGGCATCCGCATCCACATGTCCCAATCCCAGAGCTGGCAGACATGGACCACGATGAAGGTTAAGATGTTTCCACTTGGTAGGGGACTCCAGCCCCCTCATCCTACCCTGACAGTTACCTTTTCCGGTGTGGGCCACTTGGGCTCAAGCTCCTCCTTGTACAAGGACCTCCTGAGCACCCAGCCCAGACCAGGCATGGTCTCCACACGGTACAGCAGTGCTGGGTCCTCAGCCGTGTGTTCATACCCCTGGGGACAGGGGGCCATAGTGGGAGGTATTAGCTGAGGCCTCATAAACTCACCTGCTAAACCCTGGCCATTCCAGCCTACCTGGTCATTCCAAGCAGAGATGCAGTACAGGCTGTCATCCTCCTCCAGCAGGTGGATGGATTGGCTCAGGAAACTGAGAGAGGCGGGGTCAAAGAGTTCAGGGAGGGGCAAGGATAAACCTAGTCACACAGAGATGCTGGAAGAGCTGGAGCTGGGTCTCAGGAGCACCTCCTTCCTGGAGTACCTCCTTCCCCCAAATCCCCACTGTCTCCATTCATCCACTCTACCTTCAACAGCAGCCCCATCACCTGCCATCCTACCTTTGCCCAGGCTTTGCCCCCACTCGTGAGCTCATGTCCTCCAGAAAGCTCTCTAGGACACCTCACTGACTTTCCCTGCAGACCGAGGGACCTCACCTGAAACCTAGAGACTCCCCTCACCTGAAAAAATCCACAGCAATGTCCAGGTCCTCTTCCAGAACCACAGCAAACTTGGCCTCCTGGAAGGGGAATGGGACATCATGGTCCCAAGGGGGTCTCTCCATCCTGTGATCTCCTTTGCCCCCAACCATATTCTTGCAGGCAGCATTACCCCCATTTTCCAGATGTGAAGGATGAGGCCCAGTGAGGCGAAGAGTTTGCCATATTAACAGGCCCAGACCTTACGCTCATGTTTCCCCCTCCCAGGCCCAAGTGTTGTATCCTTAGTACTCACTGGAAACAGGTTGAAAGTGGCAGTGAGGCTGGCCTTGTAGTGCTGGGAGTGGGGTGGGAATAGGGCACATGAGTTTTAGGGTAGAAGGCAGAGCCAGGTATCTGCCCCATCCCCCCTTGCCTACACAGTACCTGAGACACGCGGGCATTCTTGATGCTGATGGGAGTATGCTGGATGCCCCTCAGACCAAACAGTGCCACCACATCCATGGGTTCCTGGGGGCACGGCCACTGCTCACCATGTGAGGTCACTTTCCCCCTGCCCACCTCTGCAATCTAAGGCCTTCACATTTCACAGCCCTTGCCTGGGCGGTCCCCCTTGCCCGTCTCTGGCAATCACTGCTGCTTCATGTTGTGCTCCACCCAAGGCACCCCCTAAGCCCTGCTCACCTCATAGTAGCCATCGATGAAAACTGTTATCATCTGAGGAGACACCCCCTGGGCTGAAAGCAGAGAGCGCAGCATCCTGGGGAGCCCAGGTATAGGTTAGGGTCTCTTCGTCACCCCCCAACTCAGGCTTCCCTGTGTTTACAGCTGGGCCCAGATTCCCCATGCTTACCCACAGAGGTGAATGGGTCTAGAATCTATTGCCTTTGTGCCCACCTCAAGAGTTCCTCCTGGAGGTAGATGACTTGAGTACCCTCCCACTTGCTAAGCACCCTCCTGTTCAGTGCTGGGGATAGCCCATTCCCAGGCTCACCTGTACAGGTAATTGGGTCGGTTCCCTGCAATGACAGCCACAGGCACATTGAGGACCTTGTTGTCTGGGAGCTGTGGGAGAAACAGCGTTTAGCTCTTGCCTTATTCCCCCTTCAAACTGGGATCCCCACCTAGGGAAGAGTTCTCAGGTGAGGGTAGGTGCAGACTGGAGTAGACAGGGAAGGGATAGAGGATCTTCCCTGTTCTGGGCTCTCCACACACTCAGCCCAACTCCAACGCTGAGCTTTGCTCACATGGCCTGCCCCTTCACCCTAGCCCTGTCTTTCAGAGTGCAGTGTAAATCCTGCCCCTGGTTCTCTCCCAGGCTCGGGCAGGGAAAGCCCAACCTAGATCATTCCTGGGGCCCCCTTGCTGAGCTGGGAAGGAGCCCAAACCTCACTGTCTAAGGCTCCACTCACCGGGTCAGGGCTGAACTCAATGGGTGTGGGGTCCTTGCAGCTGCATACACTTCCATAGCCCTCAACTTTGCTGCAGAAGCGCCGGCGGCGACGGTTCAGCTCTGTGTCTGCCCAGTGGCACTCTGCCTCTGAGGGAAGGATGCGGTTGTCATGGAGGCATGGGGCCAGCAGGGCTTGAAGAGCCCCAGGCAAACAATCAAAGGAATAAAGCTCCACAGAGAGGATCTAAATGCCCTCCCCCAGCCCAGGCCCTGCCCCATCCATGCTCTACTAACTCCACCTTCTGCTGAGCTCAACGGCACATCTGTCTTCAGCAGGACTGGGTCCCCCCAGGAGGAGAGGGCAGGTGACTTAGAATGTTTCTCCCCGAGGACAGGACCTGGCAGGAGGCAGGAATGAGGGCCATGGGGGCCCAGACACCACTTTGGGGGCTTTTTCCCATCTCCCTGCCTACTTTGATCCAACCCACTGCCACTGGCTATTTGTTCCCCACCCCACCCCATCTCCTGGGGTTCTGCTCCTCCCAGGCCCTTGATACTACAGAGTGGATGGCCTGTGGTGCCGGCACCTCCTTTTCGTCCCACGAAGGCCCATGTGTCCCTCCAGCCCAGGGCAGGGCCAGCCTGGCTGCCCAGGCTCCTCAGCAGAGCCTTGGCTGTGTCCTTGAGGTGGAAGGAGCCCTCGTCCTGGAGGACCAGAGAAGGTAGTTAGCCTGACTGGCATGGTTCCAGGAGACCTGGCCTCACAAAGCACCAACCATGTAGCAACCTTTTACTTAAATCAGCTCGTTACATTATCGCAATAACCTTCTATGGTTTCTCTCTTTCACAGATAAAAAATAATAACTGAAGGCTTAGAGAGATTCTGAGTCATCTAAGGTCATCCAGCTAATAAGTCCTTTCCACAAACCCACACAATCTGCACCTCTCTCTCCTGCCACTCTCTGCCTTCTTTTCCCACCACTCTCCTACTCTCCTCCCTTATCCTGCTCCACCTCCACTGGCATCCGTTTTGTTCCTCCAATATGCCGTGTACCTTCCCACTCTAGGGCTTTGCACTTGCCATTCTTTCCACTGGGAATGCTCTTCCTCCCGATACTCACCTGGCTCACTCCTCAATTCCCCAGCTTTCTGCTCACATATCATCTCCTTGCAGGGGCCTTCCCTTTCTAAAATGTCCCCTCCCCCACATCATTCTGTATCCCCTGCTTTATTTTCTTCTTTATATAAGTTATCATTTACTAGCATTATCCACATTTACTTGGCTGTTTTTTGTTGACCTCCCACTGTTGGAATGTAAGCTCGACGAGGGTGGGGACTCTGTCTTGTTTCCCATTGTATCTTCAGCACCCACAGCAGTACCTAGCATACAGTTGTTGCTCAATAACTATTTGCTGAATTAATAAAAATGTTAAGGCTAAGATTGGAACCTGAGTGACTTTCCTTCAGAGAATCTTCCCACTACGTTATATGAGGGGCAGAGAAGCCGGGGCTAGGAGCAGGGTTGGAGCTAGGGAGTAGGGGTCAGGGCCAGGACAGAATAACTGACCTTGACAGTGCAGATGAGCACTCGGCCGGGTGCTACCATGTTGAGGAACAGCACCATGGCCTCATCCTCATGAGGTGAGTACGTGTCAAACACACGTTTTGCCATCACGTGGCCCTGGCAGGGGATACACTTCTGGTGAGTTGGTGTCATCAGCAAGAAGAGCCCAGCTCCAGTCCTCTGGGTCACCCACCCCTAGAACCTCACCGTGGCCTGGTTGAGGACAATGACATGGATGCCCCGGCCTTGCTCCCGGGCCTCATCCTCAAGCACCTACACAGTGGCAAAGACAAAGTCCAACTTTTCACTCTGGCATTCAAGGTATCTCTGTCTTGGGGGTACTTAAAACACCAGTTGCTTGAAACATCACCTCCTGCCTATGCTTCTGTTCACACAGTTCTTTTCCAACTCAGCTTGAAGGCCACCTCTTCCAGAAAGCCTCTATAGCACTCCCATCCGAAGAAATCACGTCTTTCTACAACCCTCCCCTCCATGACTCTCATGGCTCTTAGAGCCTTTGCTGTCTATGCTTCATCCTGGAGATATCACAATCCTCCACCACACTGAACCCCTCAAGGTAGGGCCAGGTCTGATTACTTTCAGGTCCCCAGTGCCCAGCACAAGGCTGAGGCCAAAGAAGGGACCAGGGGATGATTATAAAATAAATCAATGAATTGACTTTCTACTATTATGAATGATTACTTTTGAGATCCCACTACATACAAGAAACTTCACAAACTGTTCATTGAATCCTGACAAGTAGAAATCATTAGTCCCAGTCTATAGATAAGGAATTGAGGACTCCAAAGTCACACAGCTAGAAACTGGCAGAGTTGCAGTTCCCACTTAGGCAGTACACCCTGCCACTAGAGGACCATGCCCTGAGCAGAATGGAGTGACTGTACACCAGACCCTGGCCCACTGACCGTGGTGCCATCCACTGCCACATATACTTTGCTGCGACTTGAATACACCTCTACGTCCAGGACCCGCCGGGGACCGCTGCCTCTGCGCCGTGGGGGCTCCAGGCGGCCTAGGACCTCATCTGTGGGGTACAACAGGTCATGGAGATAGTCTCTCCAGCAGAGTCTCACCCCTTAGGGTCTGCCTGCCACTCCAGCTGTGAGACCCACGGCCCCCTATCCCATCCTTAGCCTGGCCCTACCATAGTCTTGCTCTGGCTCTGGGTCTTCATTGGCTTCGCTGATGGCTCGCCGAGTGTCCAGGATCAACTTGATATTGACAATGACAGTCACCAGCAGGAAAACCACGGCCCCTGTCTGAGGGGAGGGGTAGGGATGATTAAGAGGAGCCCCTCCTTCGGATCCTAGAGGGTCTTTCTGAAAGGAGGGCCCTGGCTGCAGTGAAGACATCCCGAGAACCTGGGTCCTGTCTCTTCCTCTGTCTGCCTAGCTCTACTCCCCTGACCAGGGCCTAGTTTCACAGCCACCTTCCCCAGGGAACCTCCCCTGACACTTCCCCCTCCATTAGGGCCCTCCCTACCCAGTGCTCCTGTATTCTTCTATTTGAGACCTTGATTTCCTTGGTCCCCTCCATTGTTGGTTTCTAGAGATGGAGCCAGGCCCAGGGACCCAAGCTGGGGATCAGACCTGGGTCCTGGCCCTAACTGCCTCACAGGGGTGTGCCTCTGGGCAAAGCCATCCTGATCAGACTTCAGGCTTACGTCAGAAGCTTAGAAGTTGTGCTTGGGTTCCGATTCCAGAACTTTGGGTTCAAACCATTACGTATACGGACATGACACATAGAGGTCTCCCCTCTAGGAACCTGCTGCCCCTTTCCAACTGGGGCTGGCCAATGTGGGTCCCAGTGCCTGATTTAGGTGGGGAGGAGGCTGGGAGGAAGCCCTTGGTTGGCGACGGTTTGGGACATCTCTATACCTGACAGAATCTCCGCAGGGCCCGCTGGTTTGTCAGTTTATACTTCCAGGTAAGGTACCAGCTCCGCTTCTTCCGAGCCCCAAAGGGCTTGATGAGGGGGCTGGGCTTCCAGTCGTCCATGCCGGATTGGCGGGTCACCAATGTCCTGGCCAGCCCATGGCTTCAGGAATCTGACGGGACCAGAGGGCCACATGGGGTAAGATGCTCCTCCCAAAGTCTGATGCCTTCTGGGGAGATGAGGGAGGACCTCCCAGCAACTCTTCCCTGCAAGCACCCATACTGTGTGACATGGGGAAAGTGGCTCAACTTCTCTGGGCTGGCAGGAAACCCTTCAGTGGGGTTGGATCACCTGGAAATTCCCTGAGACTGGAGTAACTCTCTGAATCAAGGCTATCCAGGGGTGTAGGCCAAATAATCGGCTCAAAGTTCATTAGCCCCTACAAGGACCAAGCTCCAGGCCTTCCCAAGCATGTGGTGGGCAAAGAGCGACCTCTCCTGCACCAGTCTTCAACCCTCGTCCCATCCTATCTACCCCAGCTTCTCTCCTCCCAGGGCCCGGAGCCGCCCGAGGGCTCAGGAGACCTGCATCGGCAGCGCTACCCGTTCCGGACCCCCACGCGGAGGCACTCACGGCTTAGGGGCCCCGGGCCCCGCTCGGGCCCCGCTCGGGCCCTCACTGTTCGGCCCGGGTAGCCGCGGCCTCCGCCTCCTCCATGCCGCTTGCGGCCCCGCCCCGGCCTGGCCCGCCCCCCCGCTTCCGCCGCCGCCGCTGCCGCCGCCGCCGCCGCGGGGTGAGAGGGCGACGGGCGGTGCTTAGGGCGGCGGCGGCAGCGTCGTCGGGTGTCAGCAGCCAGCGACTAAGGCGAATGCTCAGACAGTGCTAGGCAGCTTCGCAACCCGGCTGGCTGGTGTTGCTGCCTGCACGAGAGCAGCCCGCTCCCCAGCACCGCCGATGGCAAACCCGACTCCAGTCAGAGCCCTAGCACCTTGGACCAGATCACAGGGCACGCCAGGGTCAGAGGGGCTGCAACCCTTGGACACAGCACACACACCAGCCTCCCCATACCCCTCCTGGACAAGGCCGTTACCTGGTCCTGGGGCATGCACAGCCATTGGAGGCCAAGGGAGATTAAAATCCAGGTTCTGCCACTGTTCTAAGCACCTTACTGATGATGTTTAATTCCACAACAACCCCATGAGGTAGGCGCTATTACCATTCTTTCTTTCTTTCTTTCTTTCTTTTTTTAATTGAGACGGAGCCTCGCTCTGTCGCCCAGGCTGGAGTGCAGTGGCACCATTTCGGCTCACTGCAACCTCCGCCTGCTGGGTTCAAGCGATTCTCCTGCCTCAGCCTCCTGAGTAGCTGGGACTATGGGCGTGCGCCACCACACCAGCTAGTTTTTATATTTTTGGTAGAGACGGGGTTTCACCATGTTGGCCAGGCTGGTCTCGAACTTCTGACTTCAAGTGATCCGACCGCCTTGGCCTCCCAAATTGCTGGGATTACAGGCAGTGAACCACCACCCCGGCTATGGGCGTTATTATTATCCCTGTCACAGATAAATAAGACCCAATGTCACAAAGCTAGGAGAGGTGGAATTGAAATCCAGCCTGGCTCCAGATTCTGCTCTTAACCACCGCACTCTGCTGGCAACAATACAGAAGAGTTGCCAGGTTTAAATAATATCATACATACAAAGCACTTAGCTTAACACAATGGTTCTCAAACTTTAGCTTGCATCAGAATCACCTGGATAACTTCTTAAAACAGAGGTGCTGGGCTCCATCCCTAGAGTTTTAGATTCAGTGGTCTGGGGCAGGGTGGGATTTTGCATTCCTAAGAAGTTTCTAGGTGATGGTGATGCTTGTTTGAAGTGGATAGCCATAGAACAGTTTTAGGCAGGGGAGCAATATAATCCAATTTATGTTTTAAGAGAACCTTTACTTTTTTTGTGGATAATGGGTTGAAAGGAGACAGAGGAAGCCAGAAGACCAGTTAGATTTTTTTGAGCTTTCCATATTCCATCTGCTTCCTGAATGGTGGGGTAATATCCCCCAAAATGAAATGTTAACAGTACTTGTCTTAGGAGTTAAAGAAATAGATGATCTTTCCTAGTAAGTATGTATAAGAATAGAAGAAAAACCAACACATTTTATTAGCATTTAAAAAAGATATCCCAGCTGGTCACCGTGACTCACGCCTGTAATCCCAGCAGTTTGGGAGGCCGAGGTGGGCTGGTCAGTTGAGGTCAGGAGTTTGAGACCAGCCTGCCCAAACCCGTCTCTACTAAAAATACAAAAGTTAGCTGGGTGTGATGATGGGCGCCTATAATCCTAGCTATTCAGAAGGCTGAGGCAGGAGAATCACTTGAACCCGGGAGGCAGAAGTTGCAGTTGAGATCGCACCACTGCACTCCAGCCTGGGTGACAGAGCAAGACTCTGTCTCAAAAATAATAATAATTAAATAATTAAAAGATATCCCTTAGGGTTCCTTCCTGACCCTCCTTTCTCCTCAAACTGACTCTTCATGGAAGATCTCATTCTCTCATGACCTCTGTTACCAGTCTAGATGCCCAAACTGACATTGGCAGTTCTAACCTCTTTCCTGAGCTACAGGCTGCCTGATGTCCAGCAGGACATCTCACAGGCCCCTCTAATGCAACAGCACAACTTCTGGAATCATTTCCTTTCACTCCTATATCTCTTGTGGGTTCCCTCCTCAGTGAACCGCACCAGGCCAAACAGCTGGGAGTCACCCTTGACTCCTTGTCTGTCTCCAGTGACCAGTCCAAGTATGTTTTGCTCACCATTGTATTCTCTACACCATGCACAAAGACTAACACATAGTAAGCTCTCCACAACATTTGTTGAAATCATGCATTTGTATTTTTTAACAAATTTTTATTGAACGCCACTATAAATGAATGTAACCAGTCCTGTCAGTCTTACCTCCTAAAGAGCCTTCCATTCTAGTCTAATTATTCTTCAGCCTCACAATCAGCCCCTGGTGTAGGCCATTTCAGTTTCTTGCTTTCCAACCAGTCTCCTTGACTCTAGATTTTTACTCCTCCTATCCTTTTCTCCTTGCAAAATCCACAGTGATTTTTTTAAAGGCAAATGTTGCCAGGTTCGGTGGCTCATGACCGTAATCCCAGCACTTTGGGAGGCCAAGGCAGGTGGATCACCTGAGGTGAGAAGTTCGAAACCTGCCTGCCCAACATGGTGAAACCCCGTCTCTACTAAAATTACAAGAATTAGCTGGGTGTTGTGGCAGGCTCCTGTAATTCCGTAATTCCAGCTACTCAGGAGGCTGAGGCAGGAGAATGGCTTGAACCTGGGAGGCAGAGGTTGCAGTGAGCCAAGATGGTACCACTGCACTCCAGCCTGGGCGACAGAGCCGGACTCTGTCTCAAAAGAAAAAAAAAAAAAGACAAAGGTTTTTTCTATCTCTAACTTAAAACCTTTCCATGGATCAAAAAGTACCAAGGAAAATGATGTTACTTAAAATTATAAAGGTAGGCCAGGCATGGTAGCTCATGCCTGTAATCCCAGCACTTTGGGAGGCTGAGGTGGGAGAATTGCTTGAGGCCAGGAGTTGAAGACCAGGCTGGCAACATAGCGAGACTCTATCTACATAATTTTAAAAAAATTAATTACAAAGGTAACCATTAGATGAACTAAAAAGAGTGATAGAAATATGTAGTGCCAGGCCAGGCGCAGTGGCTCACGCTTGTAATCCCAGCACTTTGGGAAGCCGAGGCAGGCAGATCACGAGGTCAAGAGTTCAAGACCAGCCTGACCAACATGGTGAAACCCCCCCCCCCCCGATCTCTGCTAAAAATACAAAAATTAGTTGGGCGTGGTGGCACGTGCCTGTAATCCCTGCTACTCAGGAGGCTGAAGCAGGAGAATCGCTTGAACCTGGGAGGGGAGATTGCAGTGAGTCAAGATTGTGCCACTGCACCCCAGCCTGGGTGACAAAAAAAAAAAAAAAGAAAGAAATAGTGCCAGTAGGGGAAACGAACTACAGAGTGTGAGTTAAACCCATATATCCATATTTATCTGAATATGATAATAAACAGCAGTTGAATGTTTAAAATTGAGAAGCAGTGTGGCTGGGCATGGTGGCATACTCCTGTAGTCACAGTTGCTTGGCAGGCAGGAGGATTGCTTGAGCCCAGGAGTTGAGTCCAGCCTGGGCAACACAGGAAGACTCTGTCTCTAAGAAAGAAAAAAAAAAAAAAAGGAGTGGTAGGATTTACAATAAGAAAATATTTACTCCTACCCTACCCTTTCACACCTCTAGGCCCACTCCCAGTTGGCAATCACTTTTAGTTAACTCTAAACAATAACATTACGGGTATGAACACCAAAAAAAACAAAAAACAAAAAACAAAAAACCCCCCAAAAACTAAAAGTTACTTTTTGCCAATTGGGAGTGGGCCTAGAGGTGTGAAAGGGTAGGGCAGGGGTAACTATCTTCTCATTGTAAATCCTTCTGCAACCACGGGCTGGAATTACTTGAATTACAAGCCTACACAAACCAAAGTTTTCATGACTGTTCATTACCTGTTAAATAAAACCCAAACATCTCAGAACCATCTTCTGTAACCTTATTATCAAAGTGTGGTCCCTTATTACTTGAAGTGTGGACCAGCAGCATGGCCATGACCTGGGAGCTTATTAGAAATGCAGGATCTTGGCGGGGCCCAGTGGCTCACACCTGTAATCCCAGTACTTTGGGAAGCCGAGACAGGCAGATCACTTGAGATCTGGAGTTCAAGACCAGCCTGGCCAACATGGTGAAACCCCGTCTCTACTAAAAATACAAAAATATTAGCTGGGCGTGGCGGTGCATGCCTGTAATCCCAGCTACTCAGGAGGCAGAGGCAGGAGAATCGCTGGAACCGGGGAAGGCAGTGGTTTGCAGTGAGCCGAGATCGTGCCACTGCACTCCATCCTGGGCAGCAGAGCAAGACTCTGTCTCAAAAAAAAAAAAAAAAAAAAAAAGGCAGGATCTCAGGCCCCACCCCGATTTACAAAATCAGAACTGCATTTTAATACGATCCGCAGATAATTCATATGCACAGTCAAGTTTAAGGAGGAGGATCTTGCTTGTAAGCTCAATGTGGACCTCTTCAGCTTCAATACTGGTTGCCCCTTTCTACTCCGTTAGTCTGAATTCTAGCCCCTGGGGTGTTGTGTGTGTGTCTGACTAAAATCCAGCCATCGTTTTAGACCCAATTCCTCTGCTCCAGGAAGACTTCCAAGCCTTCTGCAGCTCTCTGTTACCACTGTTCCTTAAACTCCCACATCTCTGACTGAAGCTGCTTAGACTTCATTCTGCAAACATGTATTGGGCGCCTGCTGTGTGCCTGGCTGGATTCAGTGCCAGGGTGGGGCGAAGGCGCTGAGGTCTCCGAGTGCTCTTTCAGGTCCAACTCCAGAACCGCCCAGCCCCACGCAATCCAGGGCCGGAGGTTGTGTGCGCAGCACTCGAATATACCCACGGACAGTGCTGCGCGGCTTTTCTGAGTGTTACGGCACCCTCCTGCCGCCCGCGCGGCGCTCGGGCGGGGACCCACCGGTTTTGCTCCGCTTTAGCAGCAGCGAAGGGAGGACCCCCGCGAGCCGGTCCCTGGCGTCCGGTTGCCCAGCCCTTTTCAGGCTTGGGCCCGCATGGAGGGAACCGTGGAGTCCCAGACGCCTGACCTGCGGGATGTGGAGGGTAAGGTGGGCAGGAAGACCCCTGAAGGGCTGCTCCGTGGGCTGCGAGGCGAGTGTGACCTAGGAACCTCTGGCGCCCTGCTGCTCCCAGGGACGCCTAGCACCGGCCACGACTTGGGGGACAAGATCATGGCGCTGAAGATGGAGCTGGTGAGTGCAGACTCCATGGGCCAAGGGGACGAGTCCCCAGTTTAGGGCCAGGAGGGACGAACTCATGCTCTCAGAGTTAAGCTGGAGAGGAGGTAGTTAAAACTCTCCACCTAACTGCTCAGAATCCCTCCCAGATCAATCCGTAAACGCTGGGGTGGAGATGGAGTGACATCCATTAATTGTCCCCCAAGAGTGAGTGGGGGTGTTGATAGGTCCTGAGGAATTGGGGTGGGAGCCGTGGGTTTTGGAAGTTATTCCTGCCAAATAATTGGGAGGAGAGAGATGAGGACTGGGAAGTACTGAGAACCCAACGCAGCACAAATTCCGCCCGTATGGGCCACCTATTCCCCCCCAGTCCCCGTTGTAAGGCAACCGGTTTTTTCTCCTTCTGCTAACCGGGAAAGGGTTTAGTTCCTGTGAGGCCCGCAGTGTTCAGCACAGAAAAGATGTGGGTAAAGGGGCCTATCTGCTGTAAACTGTCTGGACCAGGGGCCCTGAAAACCTTCTCCATTTCCTCTACATCCCCCAGCCCTACTTAAAATAATGGAAAGTTCCTAGACCCATAGCAGGAACAGAGAGTAACAGCACCATTGGTGCTGATTCCCTCACCTCAGACTCAGTCTCCTCCCACCCAATCTCCCAGGTAAACTGGATATTTGGATCTCATCTGCACATTCTTGGGGAGAAGAGGAAACAGCAACCTTCCCCTTTCTCTGTTGCTGCTGGTCTAGATTCAGAGCCAAAAGGGCAGCCAAGGCCCTGGCATGTTCCTCAGGGCCCTGATTCCGGTGAAGTGGGTGATTTACACCTGCCACTATTTTGCAGCCAGTTCTGGGGAACTGAGGAATTGCTATCAGCTTCCTGGCTTACAACCAGGAGCCCACAGTGAATATGTCAGCTAATAAGTCTTTCTGGACCCCCACTGTGTGCGCAGCCTGTGCCAAGCTGGTCTGTGAAGGAGCAGGGGAAGGAAGTCATGGGGGCTCTTAGACCAGCCAGGGCTCTAATGCCTGAGCTGAGAGACTGGGAAGAGAGTCTGGTGGGTGGAGCAGCCAGGAAAGGCCCTCTGGGAGAAGGACTTGAATGCCAAGTGTGCACTTGGCCTTGAAGGTTGGAGGTGAGTGCCAAATTCTCCAGAGCAAGGCTGTGACTGTCCCCACCTAAGCAGGGGTTTGCCTTTGTCTCGCTGTACAAACTTTAGCTCAAGGCCTAGTAAGAGCCTACCTAGACTGTCTAGTTGCTTTGAAAACTAACTTTCACCCAGCACATGTGCCAGGCAGCTTGCTGAGCACTTTACTTGATACTCTCTTCATCTCCACAGTAACCATGTTAAGTAAGTGATATTTTATAGATGAAGAAACTGAGGCACAGGGTGGGCATGGTGGCTCACGCCTGTAATCCCAGCACTTTGGGAGGCTGAGGCAGGCAGATCACTTGAGCCCAGGAGTTTGAGACCAGCCTGGGCAACAAAGCAAGACTCTGTCTCTGCAAAAATTAGATGGGTGTTGTGGTGCATGCCTGTAGTCCCAGCTACTCTGGAGGCAGAGGCAGGGGGATCACTTGAGCCCAGGAAGAGGAGGTTGCAGTGAGCTGAAATCGCACCACTGCACTCCAGACTGGGTGACAGAGCTCAGAGCTAGACCCTGTCTCAAAAAAAGAGAGGAAAGGAGGGAAGGAAGGGAAGAAGGGAGGAAGGGAGGGAGGGAGGATAAAAGAAAAGAGAAAAGAAAACAGAGGCACAGGGAGTTTAATAACTGCCCAAGATCACACAAAAAGCACGGCCATGATTTGAACCCAGATCATCTGACTGCACTTTGCATGTTTACCTTTGAGACCTGCTTTGTGCCAGATAGTCTAAACACATTTTATGTCATTGAAATGAGAAAACTGGTCATCATTTCTCCCATCTTACAGATAAAACATGCTTGCAGATTCTGAACTCACATAGGGAGTCAGTGGAAGAGCCACGCCTAGTCTCTCTGGCTCTCTTTTCTGCCTTGGTGGAAACGATCTGTAAACTTTAAGGGGCTGCATTTAACTTTTGATTTTGTCTCTCTGTATTCTTGACCCTGCTTGCCTGGGGCCTGAGGCTGCCCGAGAAAGGGCACAAGGGAGGGAGCCTTCTGGGGCCAGAACGAGGAGAGATCCCCATCCTATTTTTCTCCCTCATCAGGACAGGATGTTATTAATATTAATCTCTTCCTGTGCTCTGCCCTGCCTACTGGGTTGCACCCAGGAAGGACAAGCAGTGGGGCAAGGGGTTTCCCTTGGGGCTAATGAAGGCAGGACTGGTTCAAGCCCTCTAAGGACTGTCCTTCAATTGTTCCTCTCCCAGCTTTCCTTGCACAAAGCGGGGAGGCCTACCCTTGAGGCCAAGGTCAGTCCGCCTCTAGGCCTCATCCCTCCTGCTTTCTTCCTCTACCCACCATTCAAAGGTTGAGTGAACAAGCCAGACTGGGATATGTGGGAATGGGAAACAGTGGCAACCTCTTCTTAGTTCTCCCACCCAAAGAACTGTTGCTATGACAACCCACCTCCACAGAGGCAGTCTGAGAAGAAGCTTTAGGCGAGGAAGAAGGCACGGGTTCAAGTCTTGGCTCTGCTTCTGAAACGTTTTGTGGTCTTGAGCAGTACTCTTTCTCTCTCCTGGCCTCAGTTTTTCTTCCTCTTGGTGGAGGGAGTAGAGGGAGATGGGGACTGTGGAACCAGATGATCGTAAGAACCTTTGTAGTAACAATATTCTGATAGTCCCTGCTCTAGGAGCTCCAACTAGGATTTCCAGGCTTTTACCCCAGGGCCTGATTTGGATTGAGCAATGAGGAAACCATACAGAACCCCAGCGCTGGGCAGAGTCTGATATGTAGATGTTAAGGAGAGGAGTAGGGAGCCTGAATCTCCTTGGAAAGAGAATTGGGTTTGGAGTTGCCTCTGAGGCTGCCTCTCTCCTGAGCTGTTTATCCTATACTCTATTTTCTTCAAGAGATCGTGTGAAAGGAGTGTTTCTTTTTCTGGCAAGAAAGCCTTGCTTTCTTCTATTCTGGGAGTGATGCTGTCACAGTCAGGGAATCCCACTGTCACAGGATTATAGAATCTGCTCTCAGATTCATTTCCCAGCAACACAGTACAACCCAGACCCCTGAATCCTGGGAACCATCAAAGGGGTCAAGGATAGTAAAGGCAAGAGAATCACAGAACTGAATGTGACCTCCTTAGCCCTAGGCCGAGCACCAGAAATGGATTGAGCAGGATCTGCTCTCAGGGAGCTCACAGTCTGGTTAGGGAAGGAGAGAGACAGAAGAACATTTCTAGTACAGGATGATAAGAGATGGTAGAACCCAGGAAGGGCCTCCTGGAAGAGTCTTGACGGTAGAGTGATGCGGTTGGGTTTGTGCTCTGGAAAGGCGACTTCAGACTGGAAGGAGGCACAGGCCGTTTCCTCTGCTTGACATGCTTCTCTCTACCTCTTTGTCTGGCTGAGTCCTTTTTTTTTTTTTTTTTTTTTTTTTTTTGACACAGGGTTTCACTCCCATCATCCAGGCTGGAATGCAGTGGCACAATGTCGGTTCACTGCAACCTCTGCCTTCCAAGCTCAAGCAATTCTCCTGCCTCAACCTCCTGAGTAGCTGGGACTATGGGCATGTGCCACCACACCCAGCTAACTTTTGTATTTTTAGTAGAGACGGGATTTTGCCATGTTGGCCAGGCTACTTTCGAAGCCCTGACCTCAAGTGATTTCTGCCTCAGCCGCCCAAAGTGCTGGGATTACAGGTGTGAGCCACTGCGCCCATCCTAGCTGAGTCCTTCTTAACCTTCAGTTTTCGGCTCATGTCCCTTATCCTAGGAAGCATTTCCTGACCCGGTTAGGTTATGGCCCTCTAGGTGTCTACAGTCCTATGTGTAGCAGTTGTTTCCCCTAGCATTTGCCACACTGAACTTTTCATTTTAAAATTATTTATTTATTTGTTTGGTTTGACATGGAGTTTCATTCTTGGTGTCCAGGCTGGAGTGCAATGGCGTGATCTCGGCTCACTGCAACTTCCGCCTCCTGGGTTCAAGTGAGTCTCCTGCCTCAGCCTCCCGAGTGGCTGGGATTACAGGCACCTGCCTACCTAATTTTTGTATTTTTAGTAGAGATGGGGTTAGACCATGTTGGCCAGGCTGGTCTTGAACTCCTGACCTCAAGTGATCCACCTGCCTCGGCCTCCCAAAGTGCTGGGATTACAGGTGTGAGCCACCACGCCAGCCTTATTTATTTTTATGTTTATTATTATTATTTTTTTGATCCAGAGTCTTGCTCTGTCGCCCAGGCTGGCATACAGTGGTGTGATCTCAGCTCACTGCAAGCTCCGCCTCCTAGGTTCACGCCATTCTCCTGCCTCAGCCTCCTGAGTAGCTGGGACTACAGGCGCCCGCCACCACACCTGGCTAATTTTTTGTGTTTTTAGTAGAGACGGGGTTTCACCCTGTTAGCCAGGATGATCTCGATCTCCTGACCTCGTGATCCGCCCGCCTCAGCCTCCCAAAGTGCTGGGATTACAGGCGTGAGCCACCGTGCCCAGCCCTTATTTATTTTTTTAATAGAGACAGGATCTTCCTATGTTGCCCAGACCAGTCTCAAACTCCTGACCTCAAGCAGTCCATTTGTGTCAGCCTCCCAAAGTGCTGGGATTGCAGGCTGAGCCAGAATGCCCAACCAACCACATTGAATTTTAAGTGCTTGCTTCGTTGTCTTATCTTACCCACTAGATTACGAACCCTCTGAAGGTAAGAAATGATGCCTTTTCTTTCTTCATCGAACATAGTGCCACACCTATAAAAAACAATAAATATTGGTTCCATAACAGAATGGATTAATTCCATCTCCAGGAAGGGCAAGGAAGACTTCCTCTAGGAGGTGGCATTTGTGCTGGGGCTTGAAGAATGAATAAAATCAGTGGGAATTCCAGTTCAAGATACCAGATTGAGGGCTGGGCACGGTGGCTCATGCCTGTAATCCCAGC